ACCTCGAAACTCTTGGGAGTTTCCTGAGTGATGGGAATGTCTTCTTGTTCATGGAGGGCTTCAACCACATCTGACAGGTTATGCTAACCAGATGACTAATGTTGGTTAAGGACTGAACAGAGGGGGCTGGTTGGTTATGTGCCATGGAGTTGGTTCCGACTCACAGCGACCCTGTATAGCATTTCTGAGGCTGTAAATCTTTATGGGAGCAGAAAGCCTCATCCATCTCCTGTGGAACGCCTGTTTGTTTGGAACTGCTGACCTTCAGGTTAGCACCCCAACTCATAATCAGTACACTCACTACCAGAGCTCCTTAGACAGAGAGAGAGAGGAACTGAATTCAACCAATCACACAGACAATGATTCAATAAGAGCTGTATAATGAAACCTATAAAAGTTCTGGACACTGGAGTTTGGTTGAACTCTTCAGTTGGTGGCAGATGTAAATATAAACGGGAGGAGCGAAGCAAGTAAAGACACATCCCTCGGGACAAAGAACTTGTCTGTTGGGGCCTTTCAAGATAGCCTGCTCAGAAACCCTGCACAATACCCCACTGCCACTGAACCTAAATGTGGCAGGTGAAAGGAAATGGTCTCACGAATTAACAAGAAGGGTATGTGCTACTTTTTACAGTTTTGAAGAAGATAGCTGATTTTCTTAAATCTAAGTAAGCATAAAACATTGCCATGTTACAAATAATGAAACTGACTTAGTGAAATTTCTGAGGACCCTTGGCACTAGCTGAGTTGTGGAACTATTTAATATACGTCTGGGTGTCTGCATCTAAAACTCAGTCTTCTAAGATAAAATGAGAAATTTTAAAAGAGAAGCGAGACTAGTGAATGATATCAAAGTATAGAGACATGTGCACTAATGCTAAAAATGAAAACTAGACTGGAATATTTACATGTTTTATTAAATCTTTACAATCAGTTATTATAATCAAATAAACAATTATATACAAGGATTATATACATTTTGCCCAGACTTTTACATTACAGTAGTTTCCCCTAGAAACATTGTATACATTTATCACCAAACAATAAAACCCAACAACAGTAGTGGTACAGCACCTGTTAGTACAGACAACTTTTTTCATAAATTACATCATAAGAAAATATACGGCTGTAAATTGGGCTTTTAAAAATGTCTTTTATAAAATCTGAACATACAATATTTCATTCACAGAATGTTTTTTGTTTTTTTTCCTATGTTCTGACTGAAGCCTTGTGCATGAAACGACCGGTTGACATATTTACTAAGTTCTCCCCTACCACCCCTCGCCCACCCAAAAATTATGAGTGCTGTTTGCATTACTTATACTTAGCTTTTTTAAAGGATGAATTTGGCATGGGGTTTGGTAAGACAACAAATGCTGGTTTCACTGTCAAAAGGGTTGTGTAATAGTATTTTAAATAAAAAACAATTCTCAAGATTCTAAGTATGTTAGAGAAGTGAAAATCAGAGCGTGCATTTTTCATTTTACTCTCTAATACTTTGATGAAAAAGGGAAAAGTGTGTCAAAAAAACTTTAAAGTTTGTTCTGAAACAATTGTATCTCTGTTGGAAGCCTATTAAGGTTAAAAGGAAGGAGAAATTTAAAAACAAACAAAACCGACCCAACAAAATATCCCACTCTAAACATATCTAGTAAATTACACTTTTTCACTTAAATTTTATGGGAAAGTATTGCAAGTTAAGGTCTATCATTTCAATGGACTTTTACAAGCAGAAAAAAACTATAGCTATCTTATTTTTTAGTAGGTAAACAAGTTTTAAAACGTGAAAATACCTGAATTAAATACTTGCTCTAATATCTAACATTTAACTTTCAGATAAAATCCTTACTTGATTACAAGTTTGTAAACATTATATAAATCCTTCTTAGTCAAACTACTTCATGGCTGTGGTGACCACTTCAGCTCAATCTCTATGCAGTTAACATTTAACTGAGGTAGACCAGATGTTTCTAAATTCAGGGTCTTATAGGATCCCCTGAATCTTTAGGAAGCAAATCAGATATCTAAAAAACGTATCTAAAAAACAAATGCTGTTGGAATTTTCTAGTGAACTGAAAAACGACTTGGTGGCAGTATGTCAAGTAAATAAATGTAGAGTCACTAACAACGTGGCGGTTTGAAATTGAACATTAATTATACTCTCGCTTCTTAAACTGGGGAAAATCAAGTATAATTCCTTCTGGATAGTAAGGTTAATTTGTTAATTTTTCTTCTTTTTTTTTTTTTAAGGAATTCACTTTTCTAAACAAATGAAAATTTTGCTTCTAGAGCTCAACGAAAGGGAACACCTCCCCCTAATGGCCAAAATAAGAGAAAGTGGCAATAAACTGGCTTCTCCAGAGTCTAGAGCCAACTTTCCAATCAGAAATTGGAGCCATTCATTGTGGCTGGACTTCCTGCTCAGAATATGCACTTCTACCACAAATACACTGAATGTACATTTTAACAAAATCCTCAGGTAATGCTTATTATGTAGGTATTATGAACAGGAGCTCTAGTGGTACAATGGGTTAAATGTTAGGCTGCAAACCCCGGTGGGGAAGATCAGGCAGTCTGCTTCCCTAAGATTTTTAACCTTGGAAGCCCTATGGAGCAGTTCTACACTGTCCTCTAGGGTTGCAGTGAGTCAGGGCTGACTTGATGCTAATGGGTTTTGGTTTCTTATGCATATATAAGAATGACCTGGGGATCTTGCTAAATTGAAAGTTCTGACTCAGTAGATTTGAGGTGGAAATGCAAATTCTCAGCGGGGGCGGGGGAGGGTCACATCTGAACAGGTTTGAAACCCTCACCATAAGATCCTTCATGCCATTAAGTTCTTGGTGGGGGTTAGGAGGGAGAAAGTTGTTTTGATAACTTAGAAAAGTTTAGACAACAATGGCTCTGAGCTGCAAATACAAAAATCAACAATGTGTATAAGGCTTCTGTAATCAAAGTCTTAGAGGAACATCTGCTCCTTTTCTCCAAGCCCCAGTCCTATAAATCAAGGCAAGGCAAGGCAAGGCAAGTAATTAAGCTTCTGCTATTCTAGCAGCTTTGCAATTAAAATGAACAAAGCACTATGTGACTATCTATCCTCTTTATACTGTTATGTATTATATTTCTATCTTCTTACACCATGCAAGAGACTAAAATTACACATTTTGGTGTCAGGTTTAATTAAGGGCCAATAAAGATCTTGTGTTCTACTATTCTTTTTCCCTCAAAGGGAATTCTCTATTAGATTTGTTACTCACTGACCCAATTATGTTTAGCTGGAATTTTTAAAAGCTGCTATTTATCCCCTTAGAAAAAAATTAGTTTACCTGGGACCTAAACATACTGTACATGAATATACATAACTACAATACAGCACTGCTGTTTGTTATAACAGCTCAATATACAGTTTAAGTCATCAGTACCTCAAAACTGTGTGTTAGGAAAGATTATTGTATACTGTAATGAGAAAGTAAAAGGAAATTAAGTCTCTTTAAGTCTTCCTCTAGAACTGATTCAGGTTAAGTTTAAAAAAATAAATAAAATGATAAAGCCATGATTTCAACTACAGGGTTGTCTACAGATATTAATGTTTTTAAAACTCAAACGTGGCCAGCACCAGATTGCCAGGAACAATTAATAAAAGGAAAGAAAAAATTCTCATTGAGCTGTAAGTTAATTGCTACTATGTAAGTCTTTTTATACAAGTCACCATAGGCTAATTTTCAGGTCCACATCAAAAGAACAAGGAGCCCAAGTGATGCACTGGATTAAGCGTTGTGTTGCTAACCTAAAGGTTGGCAGTTTGAACCCAGAAGCCGCTCGGTGGGAGAAAGATACGACAGTTGCTTCTGTAAAGATTCACAGCTGTGGAAACCCTATGGAGCATTTCTGCTCTGTCCTCTAGGGCGGCTCTAAATTAAATGGACTCAACAACAGTGGGGACATCAGAAGGTATATCTGGTTTTAAAAAAATTGCAAACCTAAAAATCATGATTCAACAGAAAATGTTAACCCAGGATTTTGAGATCACTACGAGTTTTGTTATAGCTCTGTAAGATAGGTAAAATGGAACAAAACGTCTTCAGCTGTTGGCAAGTCAGGCCTTGTGGCTCCAATTGCACACTAAATAAAGGAAGGAATAAGGGTGGTGGCTAGAGGTACACTACCTCAAGAGAAATGAATTGGAAAAGATTTAAAATCTACCCTACAAAAATATAACTCTCAATTTCATTGCAACATAGGCATACCTTTCCCAATGGGAAGTTCATATTGCAATATTGCAGCTCCTCCCTTGTTCCAATTCCCACAATATACTTTGCTTTTTACCTGATCCCACTATGATTATTCTTTATGCAAAGAAAGTACGTGGACTTCACCATTGGTTTACATAAAAAGGATGCTGTTATGAAAGAGGAAACACAAAAATAAAAATCAAGTCACCGTGATCACTTGTCACTGAAAGAAACAAGAAAATGATGAGCAAAAACTGTTTTATCATGAATGCATTTGTTTCAGAACCACTTCAGTCACTAAGAGTGTTTTGGGGACTACAGCATAACCAGATTACTCACAATGCTTGTCTCTTCTCAAATAAGCCTCTAACCCCCAAGCCAAGAAAGTCAAGCTTCCTTTAATTAGTAAGCTAAACAAATTCCTCCTCCCAACTCCACTATCATCCAAACGTGTTTCTTGTCTTTCTAGAGACTGCAGCAATCGGTTCCCAGGAATGTCCAGTACTGGTTCCCTAGGCTGCAGACAGCGCAATGCTGCCATCTGAAGGGGGGAATTGTGAGTTTCCATTTTTGAATGGACATTTTTTAAAACAAGGTCAATTCTAACACAACATGCTCTGATTCCTATGCTAACTAGCCCAGTCAGAACGTGGTTGCTTATCACCATACTTAACGCCTCCCATTAGAGAGCCTGCTTAGTATTAAGGTGTCTATTAACCACAGTTTACCTTTTCTTTTTGAACACCTACCACCAGATTCCTTAGCGAGTCATAGTTCATCCTTCTCCATCATTTCAAAAGCTTCTATATCTTCATTCCAGTCTGCTAATATGGAGTCTATAGGCTGGACCTTTTTACCCCAGCTAACATTAGGACTGGAATCTTCCTCAGTTTCTGATTGTTCTTGAATTTGGTTGTCTAAATCTGTACATTCACCATCAAGCTTTGTAGTTTCATGGGTTTCTATAAGATGAGAATTCTGTTCAGAAGGAGAAATGCTTGCGGCATTGTCCATCTCTGCTGGAGAGAATGATTCTGCTGACTCTGCGTGAGAGTTTACAGAATTTTCCTCAGGAGACTCTTGATCAACCAAGTCAACATCCTGAGAACTTGATGTCATCTGCTCAGCACTTTGATTCTGAGAATCATTTTCAGAGGATGCTTGTTCTTCATTTTCCATTTCAGGATCTATATAAAAGAGAATCAAATTTCATGCTACTTCTCCCCTGAAAAAATTTACTGTTACACTTCCAAGAGCACACTGATTTTTATAATAAAATGAAGAAATTAAAAAGTCAAGGCACATAACATTACTGCAGAATGGTGAACACTAGGAATGAAAAAAAAAAATCACCTTCTAGACAATGTACACACACATTTTGTGGGGGATATTCAGTTTGCAAAAATATGCCATTATTAGAAAAAAATATTTCTCTCAAATGAAAAGAAATAACTCTAAAGACTAGCAAGACTGCCTTCCATGAGTATTAATAATTCAATTATATAATAGTAAAATGTACATAAAATTATAACTTATACCCAAAATTTAAATATCTAAATTCAGGGAAACTTGCACACCTGGGAATATACTAAATATGAGGGAGCTTCAAATAGTTCATGGAAAAATGAAATTGAAAGATGATGTCATTTTTCCATAAATTTTCTGAAGACCCTTGGTAGAATAAACTTTAAACAGTACCTATAATGTCTCTGACTCCTGGTGTAGCGTGTAGGACCAGCAAGGGATTGTGAACCACAAGGTCCAGCAGTTCAAATCCACCAGCTACCTGTTCTTCAGTAACCATATATAGGATTGCTATGAATCAGAACCAACTCGGTGGCACCTACCAACAACAATAATCATGCCTATGTTTTAAGACAATATCCTTCTGAAAAGTGAAATTCTTATTTTTGCAAAGAAAAGCTGAGATTATTTATAAAACTTCTATTTCATTATTGTAAGTTTATGACTAAGATACGGTCATTCTAAACTCCACTAAAAGTATGGAAGACTAAAAAAAGTAAGTTTGCTGCTGTTGCTACTAAGTTCCTCTGAGTTGGTTCTGACTCATAGTACAACTCTGTATAGGGTTTCCCAGGAGCAGTTGATGGGTTTGAACCACTGGCCTTGCAATCTTCAGTCCTTATCCAATGTGGCACACCAGCATTCCAAAAAGTAGGTGGTAGTGGTTTTTACTGTTAAGTGCCACAAAGTCGGTTCCAGCTCATAGCGATCCTGTGTAGGGTTTCCAAGGAGCAGCTGTTGAGTTTGAACTCTTTACCTTGTGATTCAAATCAATCTTGTGGTTAGTGCATTATCCTACAGCACCACACCAGGACTCCTAGACCTCTTATAATGCACAAACAAACAAAAACACTGGGAGCATTTTATTTAGGGTTTCTGTAATACCCACACACTATCCTGCTTGACCCCTGCCTCTGTGACTCAGTGAGTCAGCACATACCTACTGTCTGTAATGTGGTAGGCACTGTGCAAGGTGCTAAACGTAAAACGAGGAGCAAAACTGAACACTATACCTGTCCTCATGGATGGGGAGCATTTACATTTACAAACAATGCCACAAAATAAATGGTCAACTGCAATGGTGTCACATGTTGTTAAAGAGACATATATATGGTGTTAGGGGAGCTTAGAGTAACGAGATTTGAGGGTTTCTCTCATGAAGTGATATGAGCTGAGATTCCTAGGACAAGTCAAGCTCATTAGGGAAGACCAGAAGGGAAGCAAACTCCAGGTTGAGGAAACATCATGTACAAAGGTACAATGGTAGGAGAGAGCTTAATGTGAAGAAAAAACAAAGACCACCTCTGAAGTATTAGAGCAAAGAAAAAGAGAAAACTGAGAGAAGTGCGCAAAATTCACTAGGAGCCAGACACGGTGAGGCTGTGTAGGCCATATTATATAGGTTTGCCCTTTTCCTGGAAAAAAAAAAAAAAAAAAAAAGGGAAATCATTAAAAACATGATCCAATTTCAAAATACACCTCTGCCTAAAAGGTGAAGAGTACAGAAAAGTCAAAGAAGAGACTACTGACTGCAGAAATCCAGAAATCAGTGGGACTAAGATGGTAAGGAGGAAAGTGGAAATTGAGGGACTTGATTTTTACAGGTCAATGGAACTAGTGTGGGACGGCATCTATGGAGGCCGTGGAAGTGCAGGTGGGGACTGGTAGGGAGGTTTCTGACTTGTGCCAGAGGGTAGGAGCAGTGTTTTGTTTATTTTTGTGGGGTTGTTATTGTTGTTCTGAGGAAGCTGGGGGAAAGAGGAAGCACATATATCACTGGCTGGTTGAGACTGAGAGGTCTTAGACAAATCGAAGAAGTGGTGTCAAGCAGATAGTTGGACATATAGGTTTGCTGCTCAAAGGGCAAGGTTTGCATTGCTGATATAAATTTGTGGTCATCTCTAAAGGAAGACATTGCCCAGCCAGAGAGTACAGTGAAAAGAGGGTCTACTCTGAGGAACCCCAAGATTTAATAGCAAGGCAAAAGACCAAAGGGACAGACACAAATAGTAGACACATAATACCAAGAGAACATTGTGTTATGGAATCTAAAAGTAAAGGGTATTTCAAGGAGGGAATAGGCCAGAAAAGTCAAGTCAGATGAGGACCAGAAACACCTTCATATTTGTGCTAAGACTTATTAACGATCTGAGTAAGAAAGAGTGTTTCAGTGTTCTAAAGGGAAGCCAGCTAAGCAGGGAATGGTTAAAATTTAGTCAGGAATAAAAACTGAGCAGAAAGCACAAATTACATGATTTTACAGAAATGGAGAAACAAAGACTATTAATGCATACATAATTATGGAAACTGAAACAATGAATTTCTGCTTAGCATTCTAACATTAACAATAGGCAGACAAAAGGTATAGAAACCGATAAAAGAGCATTTTGGAGCTAAACAGATTACAGCCTTGGAAACTGTAATAGACAGTACATAACCTTGTGGTTAGCAGTCCAGTGTGGATCCTACAGCAGAACACCACTCCTTATTTACACTTGTTGTTGTTGTTAAGTGCCATCGAATCAGTTCTGACTCATAGTGACCTTTCTAAGAAGCGGCTGTTGAGTTTGAACTACCAACCCATGTGGTTCAAATGGCCACTCAGTCCAGTGTTTATCCTCCTGGTGTGGGGCTGTAGGATCAGCACTGGACTGTGAACCACAAGATTGTTGTTGTTGTTGTTAAGTGCCGTCGAGTCGCAATTCAAAAAAACCAGCTGCTGCTTGGAAAGCCTAGACAGGGTCGTTATGAGTCAGAACCAACACGACGGCACTTAACAACAATCACCACCCTAAATTCAAAGGAGATCAAAAAGAAACATCTTCTGGTTTCTTTCTAGGCTGTATTAATCTAGTTTCAAAGGATAGGGTTGTTTGTTCAAATACTAAGGATTGCGCTTTTGGCTAAAAATTCCTCTGTGACTACATATAATATGTTGTTGTTGTTGTTAAGTGCTGTCGAGTTGGTTCCAACTTATAGCGACCCTGTATAGGATTTCCAAGGAGCAGCTGGTGGATTTGAACCATCATCCTTTTTGTTCAAAATGACCTTGTGGTCCAGTGCATTATCCTGCAGTGCCATACCAGGACTCCGTATTATATATATTATTTCAGAAGTCTAATTAATGCAATAGGAAGAGAAAGTAAAATAATCAGAGTAAGTGCAGGAAATAGAAATATCAAATATCTTTTATTTGAAGATTATATCTAAACTTGAAGCAACCTAATTTTAAAATAAATAACTATTAAGATTACTATACGATCTGTATAAGCAGTTGCTGTGCCCCCGTGTGTTGGAGGAGAACTGTGCTCCAAAGGCTTTCCAGTGGCTGATTTTTGGAAGTAGTGTGTCAGGCCTTTCTTTCAAGGTGTACTCAGACTTCCAAGCTTATAGTCAGCAGTCAAGTACATCAGTTATTTGCATCGCCCAGGGACTCAGATGTAGGCTCTTGAATGGAAATTTGTAATACTTCAATAAATTTCCTAGCTTATAAACTAAGCAAGTAATTATGCCAATTACAAAACAAATTCAATTTCTATTTCTTTGTCTTTTTGGAAAGAGGTACAATTATTTTAAAGTTCCTCTGGTAGCGTAAGTAGGTTACCAATAACTGTAACTTCAGCAGTTCGAATCTACCAGCCACTCCATGGAGACAAATGAGGCTTTGTGCTCCCGCAAGATTACAGTCTCAGAGATCCTATACAGGTTCACTATGCACAGGAACAAACTTGATGGCACACCACCACCACCACCACCACCATGGGTAAGTGCTTGCCTTCTAACTGAAAGGTCAGTAGTTTGAATCCACTAACTAATACTCATGGGAGACAGATGTGGCAGTGTGCTTCCATACTGCCTTAGAAACCCTATGGGGCAGTTCTCCTCTGTCCTGTAGGGTCACTAAGAGTCAGAATCAACTACACTGCAACAGGTTTATTTTCAGGATTATGGAAGAATGATGCAAGGAGTCAAACACTGACCTAATGGCACCTAGCAACTACATGGAAGAATGTACATCAAAGGAAAATGCTTGAAAGAATCAGAGGTAGGAAAATGATTCAAAATAGAAACTTTCATTATTTTCCAAGGGAATAAACAAAAAAGATTAGTGGAGAGAAGAGCAAGTCTAGAAACAGATGTAACTATGTAAAAGTATTTGACAAATAGCAAAGATGGCTCGGTATGCATGATGCTTCAACTCAAGGAGAAAAGGAGGGTTTACTTAATAAATGGTGCTTAATACTGGACAAGTCACCTGGAAAGAAAGTTACACTCCTAGCATGCCACATGAAAAAAATAAATTCCATATGAATTAAGGACTGAATGTACATTTCAGAAGAAAACTTAGGAAGGGAAAATATGTAACATTTGGGTGAGGTGATCTTTTGAAGCAAGACAGGAAATTCCAGAACCTTAAAGGAATTAATATTTCTAATTACATACAATTCTGAAATAGTTAAAAGTATCATAAAGACAAAGACTATATATTGGAAAAATGTTTTATATTTGTGCACATATAATTAGTTTTAAAAGTCCAAAACATTACTTTGAAAAACACAAAAATTATTTTAAAGGGAAAAGCATAAAAATAGGAACTTCAGAAAACAGAAAAAGTAAATGAAAAACGTACCTACAAAAGGAACAAATGAACCCATGATACCATTTTCACCCATTAGATTGGCAAAATTTTAAAAAACAACACACCTAGTGCTTACTTTAACGGGGGAAAGTGTGCTTTCAAACCTTGTTGGAAGAATGTGAATTGCTACAACCTTTACATGTAACATGTGATATCTATTAAAATTTAAGAGACTCATCCTTTTCCCCAGCATTCCAATTTTGGCAATCTCAAAATTCTAGAGAAGTTATGCACAAGAATGTTTTTTGTACCATTGTTTGTAGTCGCCAAAGAAAAATAAACAACTGCCAACAATTCTGGTGTTGTTAAGTGGCATTGAGTCAGTTTATGAGCAGACCTGACTACTCTGTCTTCTTCACATCACGCTTCCTTGTGTATTTTTGCAGGCTCACATCCAGCCCTCTTTCTGAAAATGTCTTACCAGCAGCTGTCCTCATTGCCATGGCACTTTTCCTCTGTGAACACCATTTAGGCATCCTAACCACCCAGTTTAAATGCTACCTTCTATGGAATTGCTTTATTATTCTAGCAAAATTAAGGGTATTTTCTTCTTCTTCTTCTTCTTTTTATTTTAATTGACTATTTTTTTTTATGGACTCCTGGTGTGGAATAACTGCTGGGTTGCTAACCACAAGGTCCGTCATTCAAATGTACCACTTGTTCCTTGGAAACCCTATACAGGGTCACTATGAGTCAGAACCAACTCAACAGCACTTAAAAACTTTTTTTTTTTTTTTTTCCAAATAGCAGTTTTAGGTTTATAGAAAAATTGAGCAGAAAGTACAGGAAGTTCTCAGATACTCTCTTTCCCTCCCCCCAGTACAATTTCTCCTGTTGTGAATACCTTACAGTGTGTGGTACATTTGTTAAAATTGATGAAATATACTGGTCCATTATTGTTACCTGAAGCCTACAGTTGACATTAGGGTCCACTAAGGGTTTTGAGAAGTCCATGATGTCATGTACCACTGCACTACCATACAAAATAGTTTTACTGCCCTAAAATCCCATGTACTCTACTTATCTATAAGGGCATTTTTTTCATATAGCTGTGGGTTAATGCGCTAGACTGCAAAGTCGGTTTGAACCACATGGCTGGCGGTTCAAACTCATCACCCGCTCCTCGGAAACCCTATACTGTGTCGCTATAGGTCGAAACTGACTCAACAGTACTTAACAACAACAACAAGAAGTATAAATACTTAAGGAGCTATGGTAGAACAATGGGTTACACATTGGGCTGCTAACTAAAAGGTCAGTAGTTCCAATTTGGAGGGCATTTTATTGGCACTTTCCTTTACACAGTGTTTTATATAGTCATCACTACTATCGCCTGACAATGCTGAAATTTTATTAAGGAAAATGTCATAATCTCTGCATGATTTTAAGGGTGTTATTGTTTGGTGTACTTACTAAGAAATACAATGCGGTTATTGTACCAACTCTGGTGGTACAATATGGCTGACACATAGTTGGATGAGAGACTGGAGTGCCTTCTTGATCCTGTTCAGTTTCTCACATGCAGCCGGGAGGCTAACTCAATAATTCCAGATTCCTATCTCCTACCTTCAAGGAGCTCTGTTAGCATCGTAGTGGTTATGAATTGGGCTGCGAACCTTAAGGTCAGCAGTACGAAACTACCAGCTGCTCCATGGGAGAAAGATGAGGCTTTCTGCTCCCGTAAAGATTTACAGCCTTGGAAACCCTGTACAGGGTTGTTATGGGTCGGAACTGATTCAACGGCACATAACAACAACAACATCTCCCACCTTCAGAGATTCTGATTCAATATTCTGGAGTAAGACTTAGGAAGCTATACTTATAACAAATATTTCAGCTGATTCTGATATAGGTGAGAAATATAGGCAATAGTACAGGGCAGATTAGTGATAATATTAATTTCTTAGGATATTTTCCTAAGTGAATAAAGTAGCTGATTTCTTGGTTGCTAATTTATTGTGTTGCTAAGGTGCTCTGGTAGCATAGTGGTTATGAATTGGACTGCAAAGGTCAGCTGTTTGAAACTACCAGCGGTTCTGCAGGAGAAAGATGAGGCTTTCTGCTCCCGTAAAGATTTATAGCCTTAGAAACCCTGTACAGGGTCACTATGAGTCGGAACCGACTCAACGGTACTTAACAACAACAAGTGCCATAGAGTCAGTCCTGACTCATAGCGACCCTGTATAGGGAAGGTTCCCAAGGAGTGACTGGTGTGTTTGAACCACTGACTTTTCGGTTAGCAGTCCAGTGCTTATCCTAAAGCATCACACCAGCTAATAATCAATCTGTACAGCTTCTCAAAAAGTAGTACACAAAAAGGGGACTTTTCAAAACTTTTAATCAAAATTATATTTTTTATCAGAATCACATTTCAGTAAATACAGACTATAAAAACCTTTTTAAAAGTGTATTTTAAATAATGTTGTTTTCTGCAAGGTCAATAAGATATTATTACACAAAGAATTTTTTTTTTTTTTAGAATTCACTGTTTCCTGTATTCTGTCTTTGGTATGGGAAATACATGCTTTAATAAAATCTCTTAGTCCTAAAACCACTTCCCTACCTCCCCATGCCCACACATTGCCTTAACTCATGTCGAGGTTTACAGTGATTCAAAGTAATATACGCTAAATCGTAGCTCTGTGAAGTGGATTAGAATTTCATCTACCCTATGAAATGTGTAACTAATAGAATTTGTTATAAAAGGAAAAATAAATTATGGGACAACTGATTAGACATGGAAATAATCTAATTAAATTAAACTAGGTAGTATCCACTGAAACAAAATTATACATATGTATATATACAGCACAAGAAAAATGAGGCTTTCTGCTCCCACAAAGATTTAGAAACCCTATATACAATTGCTTAAGTGAGAACTTACATGACAGTACTTATCAACAAAATATATATATATATATATAAGTTGCTGTTGTTAGATGTCATCAGTCAGTGCCAACTCATAGCGACTGTGTCTAGGGTTCCTGAGGAGTGCCTGGTGGACTTGAACTGCTGACCTTGCTGTTTACAGTTCAGTGCTAATCCTACAGCATCACACCAGGACTTCTATACATATACATATGCATACACACACACATATATATATATAATTTAAGGTTTATCAATGCAAGATACTTACTACTATTAATAATGTAGTTTGGAATCATTTTACCTTTTAATATTGCTGCTGAAATTCCAATGGTAGCACAGAGTAGGGGGAAAAAGCAAAAGCATTAAAGAGTTATACGGAATAATAATTTTGTCTGTAGTTTGATGTGTCAAAATGTACATATATAGGAAAGAAAACCTGAATTGAGAGAACAGGTCCAAATAAAAGCAAAATCAGGTATATAGGAAGATTAAAGAAGAAGAGAAAACCTCTATATTGTGTTCTGTTTCCATCTATACATTCCTACATACATTCATCCTATGCACTCCATTGCTTTTAAATTGCTGATATTTGAAAGAATCTCAGAGGGTAAAGCAATACAAGAAGACAAGATCAACATGAATTAGGCTAGTACTAGTTTATCACTAAACATGAGTCTTTTTTTAAGAAGTCCCACTTGGAATTTACACTGACTGAATCAGCTTTCAAACTTATCTATCAAACACTCCAAAAATATAACAAGCCTATAAAAAGAATACAACTTGATCTCCTTGAGGGGGACGGAAAGAATACTGAACTCTCTGTTGGTGTCTCCAGGAGGGAAGCCAGCCCGCTACCACAGCAGTATCACAGTCCCTGCTGGACAGCTCACTTTCCTGCAATTTGGGGTGGAAACTGGGAATACCACTACTAAGACCTTGCGTCTATGCAGTGATTGGGATTTGAAAGAGCATTCACATTGGTAACAAAACATTTTGGCCTAGAGAGAGCACTGTACAGTTTCATGAATTAAGATTAGTGCCCTATTCTTCAGGCATCAGTCATGTGTAACTTGTCACTTATAAATACAGTCAATTCTCCTTACAGCAGTAGTTATGATCTGTACAGTCATAGCAAACACTGAATTAGTGAATATTGAAAAACTGCTCCTAGGAATGAAATAAAGGGATAGGTCCCCAGGAGCCTCTGGTCATAATATTTTGGTCAACTGAACAATATAAATAACCTTGTTTTTTGTTTGTTTCTGATCAAAGACACCTTACTAAATACATATTGTTGATATATTAACACTGAACTCATGACCAACAGCACTACAAACCATGACAGAATGAAGCCTATCTAACACACTTATTTCTCCCATAAGTTACATCCCAGCCTTCTGATGCTTAGGAACATTAGGACAGTACTTCAACATTATGCTTGGGGGCCGTTTCTGTGAAATCACCAACAAAACAACACATAAACGAGAAAAAATTTTCGGCCACACTGTGCATATCAGAGGACTGTGAAACAGCTGCAAATACTGAGACCTGGGATTGCAAATAAACTGTAATGAGTAAGCAACTTTGCAAATATAAAATCCACACATAATGAGGATCGAGACTGTATCTACGCAATACGCTTTGATGTCAACAGAGAGAAGCTGTTCAATTTATTTTGTCTTAACCAAGACAGTGGTCACACAGTGGCAGGTGGCTTGATGGGAGTCACTATTATTACGTTGTATATTATAAAACATCATTTGACCTCTTTTTATTCCTTATAAAAGAAATGTAATGTCCACATATCAGAGTAAAATTAAATAATGTACATCTCTGGATGCTAAAACTATTTTCTTGATCTAATCCTTGCATTTTCAACACTGAGCAGAATCATGGGAAAGTAACATAATAAAATGTGTCTAAAATATCCTAAGTCAGCAAATAAAGCAAAATGAAGGCTTTACTACTCAGATCAAAAAGAAAAATAATTTTTAAACCATCTTCTAAAAATATTACTTACTTTACTAGTAAACCCCCAAATACATTTTTGTAACTCATTTTTGTTATCAAACTACTAAAATTAATACATAACAATTAATAATAATAAAAATTTTTGTTTTTGTCTTACCTCGATCTTTTGCTTTATCAGATAGGAGCACTTCTACCTCCTCATATTCCCGGATGGCATCCAGTATGATACTTCCTTCTTTGCTGAATAAGAAGAGCATGGGAATCTTAATGTCGTCTGTGTCCTTTCCATCCCCTGCCATCTGGAACAGAGGGGCAGTATCACTGCTGCTCCCTTCATTGTCATCTAGCCAGAAAACAAATACAGAAAAAGTAAAAACATCAGTCCATTAAAACATAAATCAACACAAATCTACTGACCAGTGTTTACTGATTATCTGCTGACAGCATTCTAACTTGAATTCAGATTCTGCATCAAGATAGGATCTCAGTTTATATATCAAGAACTATAAAACAGGCATGCTCCTTGACCCCCCAATTTTGCTTTTACAAATGCATCCTAGGGAAATAACTCAAAAGAGACGAAAAGTTCTATGCTCAAAAGTTTACTGGAGTGCTATTTATAACTATGAACTGTAAAGCATTATAAATAAGTTATAATGAACAACTTGATATACACAGAAAAACATGACCATAGAACACAGAATTCCATGACTGTAAAATTTTCATACGCTTACGAAAATGCCTAGAAATGGGCAATCTCAAAGGTGTGGATTATAGAATTACAGATGCATTTGAAATTCTGTCATTGTTGAAAATTTCTTCTGATATTGTTTTTACCAAACTACACACTGATAAAATATTCACAAATAATAACAATGACTCTAGTGATTTTTCTTTATTAAGCTGAAATAAATAATATTGTTATTTCACACTGGTTAAACAACAGTGGTTGTTACGTTCTGTCCAATTGGTTCTGACTTGTTGTGACCCTGTGTAAGGTGTCCAAGGAGCAGTTGGTGGGGTTTGAACTGCTGACCCTGTGGTTCACAGTCCAGTGCTGATCCTACAGCATCACACCAGGAGTCCAAATAACAGTAGCAGGACTAATACTACTGTTTTATTGGAGATGTTAATCAAGTCCACTCCAATCTCACATGCCAGTCTTCTTGGAGAACCTGCCTGTCCTGTTTCAGAATGCTCGAACTCATAGGCCCTGCCAATTGAGAACACAACGTATGACCCGACTCTCAGCAGTAACTGATCAGACAGACAAACGGCTATCTGAACCCAAGGTGGACAGGAAGTCTCTGTGGAATTAGACAGAAAAACACCTTTTCAATTAACTATGATAATAGTTCAATTAAGATTCAGGGCAGAGGCTGCAATTTTGGAATGGTCATTTTGAAACTGATAAGCAAAGAGAGGTGAAAAAAGTTCATGAGGACCCAGAGAATGAGAGATATGAAAGCGGTTAACCACAATAGTTTCACATCTACTTCCTGACTTGGTTATCTGGGGATAAGTCAAAAAGTATTGCTTCAAAATCACACATATCTTTATTAAACTAAAATATCAAAATGTAAAGTTAATGTCTCTTGACATACACTCCATCTAGGTCTATACACTTCTGAAGTTGATGTTTCCATCTCTGGCACAACAACAACCCTTTGAATGTAAAGAATACCAGAAAAATGTCTACTTGTGCTTCACTGACTATGCAAAGACTTTCCAGTGTGTGGATCAGGACAAACTATGGATAACCACGCAAAGAATTCCGTAACACTTAACTGTGCTTATGAAGAACCTGTATACAGACCAAGAGGCAGTTGTTAGAACAGAATAAGGGGACTCTGAATGATTTAACATCAGGAAAAGTCTGTGTCAAGGTTGTATCCTCTCACCATACTATTTTCTCTATATGCTGAGCAAATAATCCAGGAAACTGGGTTATATGAAGAAGAATGTGGCATCAGGATTGAAGGATTTATTAACAACCTACAATATGCAGATGATACAACACTGCTTGCTGAAAGCAAATAGGACTTAAAATACTTACTGATAAAGATAAAGAACTACAGCCTTCAGTATGGATTGAACTTCAATGTAAAGCACAAAAAAATCCTCACAACTGGGCCAATAAATAACATTACAATAAATGGAGAAAAGATTGAAGTTGTCAAAGACTTCATTTGGTTTGAATCCACAATCAACACTCATGCAAGCAGCAGTCAAGAAATCAAATGGCGTATTCCACTGGGCAATTCTGCTGCACAAGACCTCTTCAAAGTGTTAGAGAGCAAAAAAAGCCAATTTGAGGAGTAATGTGCCTAGCTCAAGCCACGGTATTTTCAATTGCCTCATATGAATGTGAAGGCTGGACAGTGAATAAATAAGGTAGTAGAAGAATTGATGCATTTGAATTACGGTACTGGAGAACAATATTAAAAGTACCATAGACTGCCAGAAGAACAAACAAATCTGTCTTGGAAGGACTGCCAGAATGCTCCCTAGAAGCTGGGGTGGTGAGAATTTTGTCTTATATTTCAGATATGACATGTTATTAATAGGGACCAGTCCCTGGAGAAAGACATCATACTTGGTAAACTACAGGGTCAGTGAAAAAGAGGAAGGGTCGACCCCCAAGGAGATGGATTGACACAGTGGAAGCAGCAATGGGCTTAAACATAGCAACAACTGTGAGGTTGGGGCAGGACTGGGCAGTGTTTTGTTCTGTTGTGCATGGGGTCGCTATGAGTTGGAACTGACTGGATGGCACCTAACGACAATCCTGTGAATAATTCTGCATTCAATTCACACTATATCAAAATGGCAGTTTGGGCACCCTTAAGGGGATCAAATTTATGTTCTCTTTTTAATTTTCTTTGATTTCTTAGGGACAAAAAGAACTCTGAAGGGGCAAGACTAGTGTGGATGGGTAAGGTTTCCCATTGAAATTCTCCTAGAATAGCCCTTGCTGCCCTCAAAGAATGAATTGCAGGTACATCATCATGACAGAAAAAGATTTCTCTGCACAACTTTTTCCCACCAATATAGTTTTCAATTTTCTTAAAACTTCTTCCTAATAAGTCCCTATGATCATCCTGTGTTCTTACAAGAAATCTATCAAGATTACCTCTCTGGAATAAAAAAATTAAAAAAAAGAAAAAAAGTTGCCGTAACTTTCTGAGCTGACCTCTCTGCCTTAAACTGACCCCTTTAGAAGCCACTGTTTTGATGAGAGGGAGGGAGAAAGAGAGGGAGGGAGGGAGGGTGGGACAGAGGGAAAGGGAGAGAGAGAGAGAGTGTGTGTGTGTGTGTGTGTGAAGATTCCTTAACAAGACTAAGCCAAGTATATTATGGGGTGAAGTTGCCTGCAGCCATCCACTGATCATAAAAACATGTTTATACACATTTTGATTTTTTTTTAAATAAAATGGCATGTATGAACAAACCCTAGTAGCAATAATTTTTGACTTACCCTTATATTTTTCACTCTTGGGTTTCATCAATGAAATAATCCATTCCCTTATAATAAACAAACCTCTCTTCTTAAACCAGCTTAAGTAAATTACTGGTGTGGCGCTGTGGGTAACTCACTGTGGGTTAATTCAAAGTTGGTTTGAACTGCAAGGCTGGTGGTTAAAGTTCACCAGCTGCACCTCAGAAACCCTATACAGGGTTGCTATGGGTCAGAACTGACTCAGTGGCACTTAACAACAATGATCTCTAATGTAATTTATACTTCTAGTATTTGTAATAAAGAACTAAGGTCGACTTTTGTCATTCATTTACAAATTAATTAAATTCAGTAAAAACAAAACCAAAATGGATGTTCCCTGTGAGAGAAACTATGCAGAAGAAATAATTTCACAACTGACCTCAGGTCTTAGTTTTTTCTAAATGCAAACTCCCATTCCTTGAAACATAAGAAATATGTCTTTACCTGATAGCCATGGCCTGCTTATCATGGTAAGTCATTTCTATGTAAGATAAAAAAGTAAAGCCCACTAGCAGAAATATAGTGATAAAATGATTTCAGGTTGGCAGTTTGTCATTTTAGTAGAAAGATACAAGGGGATAATAATCTGCTAGCAATTAACATTTATACCTATGATCTGTCAGATATTATACAAAGATATTATTTATATACATATATATATACATAATCTTAAACCAAAAAAGAAAAATCCCAACTTACTGTGGATAAGTCAATTCCAACTCATACTGACCCTACAGGACACAGTAGAACTGCCTGCCTCCCAGGGTTTTCAAGACTGTCATGTTTCTGGCAGTAGACTGCCTTATCTTTTTCTCAAGGAGCAGCTGGTGAGTTCAAACTGCTGGCTTTTTAGTTAGCAGTTCAGTGCTTTAACCACTGTTCCACCAGAAGACCTTATTACATGTTGTTGTTAAGTGCCGGCAAGTTGGTTCTGACTCACAGTGACCCTCTATAGGGTTTACAAGGCACGACTGGTGGGCTTGAACCGCCAACCTTGTGATTCAAACCAACCTTGCTGCCCAGTGCTTTATCCTACAGCACCACACCAGGACTCTGTATCCATATTGTTGTTGTTGTTAAGTTGCTGTTAAATGCCGTTGAGTCAGTTCCAACCCAAAGCAACCTTGTATAGGGTTTCCGAGGCTGGTGAGCTTGAACTGCTGATCTTGTGGCTCAAACTGACTTTGCAGTCCAGCGCATTAGCCCACAGCACCACACCAGGACTCCATATTGTTGTTTTTAAGTGCCATGGAGTCGGTTCTGACCCATAGTGACCCTGTACAGGGTTTCCGAGGCTGTAAATCTTTATGGGAGCAGAAAGCCTCATCTTTCTCCCGCGGAGCAGCTGGAAGTTTCGAACTGCTGACCTTGAGGTTAGCAGCCCAACTTGTAACCACTACGCTACCAGAGCTCCTTGGACTCCATATTACTATACTGTAATTAAACGTTTTCACTAAAATAGTTGATTTTGAAGAAGTGGTAGAGAAGGATGTAGGTAATCCACTGCCACTGAGTAGATCTCAACTCACTGTGACTTTAAGTGAGAGTAGAACTACCTCAGAGAGTTTCCAAAGCTGTAAATCTTTACAAAAGTACATCGTTCTCCCACAGAGCAGCTGATGGGTTCAAACCACGGACCTTTCAATTAGCAGCTGAGGGCTTCACCACTGCACCACTAGTAGTAGCTACATTCTGTGGACTTGGTTCCTACTCATAGTGACCCTGTATAGGGTTTCCTAAGAGCAGCTGGCGGGAACCACCCCCTTGCAGTTCAAATCGACCTTGCAGTCTAGTGCTTATCCTACAGCATTATACCAGGATTCAACCGTTGTTGTTGTTAAGTGCCATGGAGTCGGTTCCGACTTATAGCAATGCTGTATAGGATCTCCAAGGAGGATGGCGATCTTGAGCCGCTGTCTTTGTTGTTCAAACCGACTTTGCACTCCAAAAATCAACTAAGAGATATTAGCTACCATTTTCACTGGGGTTGGAAACATATCCTACCAAATGAACAGCCAGACAAATTGAGGCTTGCCCAAGGTCACACAATGAATTTGTGGCCTCGCCAAGGACACAGATGTCTCACTCCAAAGTCCTCAGCTCTGTGAAGGAGTGAACATTTTCAACTGCTCCCCAAGGAAGGTGACACTGGGAGTTTTGGATCCTAAGGGCACATTTTCTTTGCATAGTATTTATTGGCTGTTTTTACTACTCACTCCACAGCTCATCCTCACACTTGGTCCTAAGTATTTTACTGTCACTAATGCACACAACAAAATCTAGGCTTTCAAACAATAATTTGTTGCTATTTAGAAATTATTTCATAATAACCGGATTATCTATTGAATCACCTATCCTTTATGTTGTCTAGATGAAGTAAAAATAATCTAATAAGACTTTGATAAAATTTTTGACAAGGAAAAATGGTAAAATTATCTCCTCTACCATGACATGGAACATTGCTTACCAATAACAATGCCACCAATGGCTCCGGCATTCTGGATGTTGCGTGCCTTTTCTGCAAACATGCACTGTCCTCTTTGTATCAAAGCAATTTTTCCCACCACTGCCTCGGGGTTAGTAAGTTCTGAACAACCATTGTATGGTTTACTGCTTGCAACAAATCCTCTTGTCTGTCAGAAATAAAAATGACTTAAATATTTTTTTATTCCTCAAATCACTATCTAGTCATATTGTTAACCTCAATATCTAGAACTATAAAGGAACTTGAACTCATTTATTTTTTACAGTAACATTCAATATATACTTAACATAACTTTGTACTTTAAACATTTTTGTATTACATCTCTAACCAATATTTCTATCTTGCTTTGTAGTTAACAGATGATTTTTACATGAATTACTAAGACTGATCTTTAATATAACTAAAATAACTCTGAGGAAATCAATACAGGTCATATTTCCATTTTAACTCTGGGGAGATGCAAGTAAGTGGTAAAGCTGGGACCTGTAGGTACATTCACTATATACCCACAACCACACTTAGAACAGCTGGGAATTATTTTTAAATCAGGATAACTGACTGAAAAAATTTACAGAGAGAGAGAAAAAATTAGATTTAGTCTACATGAAACTGCAAGCAATTCTTCCCTACCAGAGAACTGATTTTTAAAAACATATTAGTACAACAATGTTTTGCTATGCCTCTCTCTCCTAGAATGTAAACACCATGAGGGAATGGATCTTTATTGGTTCGATAAACTGACATATTAAAACTTCAAAATAAAAGTCAAAACAAACCCACTGCCTTCGAGTTGATGCCAACACATAGTGACCTAAGGACAGAGTAGAATTGCCCCAGAGATTTTACGAGGCTAAACATCTTTACAGAGTCAGACTGTGCCACCTTTCTCCCATGGAGGGACTTGAGGGTTTGAAGTGCCAACGTTCTGGTTAGCAGTCTAGTAGTTAACCTCTGTGCCACCAGCACTCCTCAGCTTCTAAATGCACACTGGGAACTAAGTCTTACTTAGGGGTAATTGAGTGGAAAGAGAATTGATCAAGTGTGAAAATACCTGGGTTCTGGTCATAATCTTGCAACCAATTAGTTGGATGAATTGCACACTGTTGAGCTCTGTAAGTCTTTGTTACCCATGTTATAACTAAGAAGATGGACCAGCTTAGCAGTTTTCAATGTTCATTCAATAGAGCCTCAGGGCCCCATGCTTCCCACAGCCACAGAAACCAGAGTACCTCTACCTCTAAGTGTTTTCTATGTTAAATTTCTCCATAAATGTTTAAACAAAGGGTCTAACAAAAAGTTTAAAAATCATGTCAAGATAAATTAGACTCCAAATTATGGAAGAGACAAGATTGTTATCTGAGTATTTTAAATCCAATTCTATATTGCATATAAAAACGATGACTCAGTTTTTTCAAGATGTACTTTTACATAAATCTACTTAAATGTGGGACACACTGAATATTTAGATTTTTTTAAAAAAATGAAAACTACTGAAGAAGGGACTAAGAAATGAAGACAGTATTTAAACAATATTCTAAATTCAATTTCAACAATCATTTCAGAATTGTGCACACCTCTTTATGTTTGGACAGATCTAGCCCAAATTGAGCTGGCCCAGCAGTCAATACGACCCTGCCAAAAAATGGGTGGGAAACAATCTGCACAGCTCGTGGAGGTAGCTGCTGCTCTTTCTGCTGCTGACTTGACAATTCAATCATCTCCTGCATGAACCTCAACCCATCTTCAGCGTCAATGGAACTTGCAGCCTGCAGAAAGAAACAGAATAATTGTATATGTTTCTGGAAGCTTTCACCAACTTTTCTGGTTTCCAATAAACTACTACTGTGCAGATTTCGACTCTGAAATGTTTTCTATCAATTTAGATCCACACCAAATATTTAAAGATGTTACTTCCAGATAATTAAATCTATGAAAATAACTTACTTACCATATTTCATCAGTGGTTTTTCACTATTCTATACATCATTTTGATACAGATTAAGCACTGGAATTCCAATGAACACTCAAATGTTCTTTTTGCTTGTTTTCGCCACTGATTTCCCCTTTTAAGAAATAAACTTCACATCTGACCTATAGTCTTCCACCTCCTTGAAATAATGAACTAACAATCAGATTAAATTAAATTCAAAAGACATGTACTCAGAACTTAACTAAGTACTGAGACAGTCTTTTCCTTTTAGAACTTTGTATACAGACAAGAAAGACATGTAAAATTAACTATGATAAAATTCCCTCAGGTGGGAAATTGGAATAGACTCATAGACACAGGAACAGTTGATTCAGTCTGTGTGGATATGGGAAAGAATTAGAGTGACACTTGAATTGTGTGTTAAAGGAGGAAAAGCTAGAGTGTCTGACCACAGAAGAAGAAGAAAAAGAGATGGGAACCAATAGATGAATCCTGATCAAAAGGAAGAAAATCTTGAATAGATCTTCGAATTCATATGGAAACCACATTTACTTAATCTATTGAGACTGGGGAAACCCTGAATCTGTTATCCAGAAACATTATAAACCTTGAACCAAAACTATCCCATGAAGCTACTATTAAACTACATAAGTTTAGTTCAAGTAACAAGCAATTGTTTCCTTGGAGCATGTGCTCTTACACAGATGTATCTACAGAGTTCAACTGACAACAGACAACAGTCAATCTACAGCACAGATGAGAACTTTAAGGAGCAGAGAGTCTACATTATTGGTGATAAAACAATATGGGTAGAGATAATGAGAACGGTGACATGATGTGAAGAATTTAACCAATGTTACTAAATTACATATGTAGAAATTGTAAGTGGCTATATGTTTGGTTGTGCATATTACCAACAAAAATAATTGAAAGAAAAGATGAATTCCTGACACTTACAGGAAAAATGGCCCAGACCTGGGGGTTAGAAAAGAGAGAACTTGGTATATAGAAAAGAGTTCAAGCTTATCCTGAGATCTCTGGCTCTATGCTCTAATAACTTACAGAATAAGATGGTTTTCTGAGATGGAGAACACATGGAGGAGAGATAGGCTAAAGTGTTGGCAATAAGGGAATAAAGAAGAGAGAATTAAAGTTTAGACAGATTGAGACTGATATGCAAAAATCATGTGTACAAAGACACAGCTGAGTTTGTAAACGTAGGTAATACTGCTGAAGAAAAGTACAGAAAGAAAAGTGTGGTCCAGATTGTTGTGCCATGGAAAGAACTCTACAAAGCAGTGAGCAGAGAAGAAGAAAGAGAGCTATATGATTAGAATGCTCTAGAAGCCAAGAAAGGAAATATTCTGAGAAATGGCCAGTCAACAGTTTAAGAAAACCAAAATCAGACAAGGTCACTAGTGGGCAATTACATCATTGGTAAACAAGTGAAAGCATTTCATCAATGAGGCTAAACTGGAAGCAATTTTATTAGAGACACCACACGAATATAAATAAGACAGAAAACTGAGGGGAAAGTGAGGCTAGAGAAAGACTGAATTTGAGACTTAGGGAGACCTGAAGTATCATACTTGGTTGAAACATTACTTGGCAAACTGAGTAGCTTTCTCAGAATCTATGTGCTAATAAGACAAGGTAAGTTGTTTAAGGGTCTGCTGTTATAAAAACTTTTAAATTAAAAAACCAATACAATTTTCCCCAAAAGGCATGCTATTCTTCTTCCTAGGTATACAGCCAAATAAATGCAAATTTTGATTTCTATGAATAAAATATTTAGATTTAGCTGTTCTTTAGAAACAAAATAACATAATATACATAAAAATATTAAAATCATCTACTAGGTTTTAAGATTATGCTCTAAATAAAAGTATAGTAGAAAGACAATAGACTCAAAAATAAACAGAAAATTTATATTTGAGTCCACCACTTGACTGAATTTTACTTAAGCATTTTAAGATACTTTAGTCCAAAAATTCTGATTCTCTAACTCTAAACCAAGCATCAAAAGTTTTTAAAAAGCCAAATGATAATATATTATTAAAGCAAATGAAACTAACAAAGGTAGAAAAGAGACGGTATCTAATTAGCATAGCAATGTCTTACTTGAATAGCGTGTTGGACCAACTGGACTCTCCCGTCTTTGAGGTGAATTAAACTCACCCCCATCTTCTTCAAGATTTCTAAATGCTCAGGGTTGGTGGCCATAAAATCTCTGGCTCTCAGAGGGGGTTTAGCTCCACTCCTGAAACTCTCCTCTCTGCTAAAAGTAAGTACAAGCAAGGCTTAAAACTACATATTGGTATTGTTTTTTTAAAAAAACCAAGAACCATAAGTAAGGATAATATTAAATACTTGCAAAAGTGATAGTTTTAGAATGAGTGAAACTGGAATAACTGGAAACAGTTATTTTCCTATATATAATCTAGGCTGTAAATAAGTTTTATACAGCAACACAAGTATATATAGTACAGTATTAGTCAACCACATTATAACTGTTTGAGAATATAGAACAAGTTGTCTAAGGGGTTTGTTACTATTGATGGTTTCCTTTGAAAACACAATTTTTTTTTCTCTGCTCGTATCAGTGAGTGATAATGTTCACATAATTATTTTTCAAAAACTGTTTTGCAATGGCTTTCCTAATGCAACAATTTGAAAGAAAAAATACACTCATTAAGCCTACTTAGCAATCAACAATAAATATCTTCTCAAAAAACAAAAACAAATATAAGAAAAACTATATATTTACTATACAGGAACTATAGATATAAGGGAAAATGTTTTCAAATAAAAGACATGTAGAGATATCTGATGAAATAATTCCATGTAATAATGAGGTACAGTAAAAAATTGTTATATGCTGCCACTGATCATTATTATTCAGTTTGTTAAAACTAAAGCTACAAGGAAACTTTCCATAATAAAGACTTTATGGCAGAACAAGTTTAGCTATCTAACTTTACTAACTTATAATATGTACTTTAATTAGTCATAAGTACATATCTCAATATTTTTAATATAACTGTTGTATTTTGGTCTGATTGCTGTCACATGTTCTCAAAGATCTCCATTAAATTTTACATTAAAATTACAAAGTACTATCTATATCTTACACTCTGATGATGCCTCTAGGACAGCTCTTATCCACCACATTTTTCAAGGGTTCACGGATGCTCTGAGCATACAGTGGATCATTGGGAAAGAGAATCTGAGTATTTGGACAAGTCCAATCAAAATTACTGTCGTCCAGTTCTGTATATTCAGAAGTCTACAATAGAAAAGAATTTTATGACGTTTTTTAAAAAGAAAATATTTAATAGGATAAGTATATACAAGATACAATAAAAGAAAACATTAAAATGTAATTTTCCTTTTACCAAAATATGTTTATTAAACTGTAACTATTAATTATTTTACATTTGGGTAAAAAAAACTAAAAACACAGAGGAAGACATTTAATTAGAAAACGTAACTTACTGTGTTCTTCTTAGAGATGCTCTGATTTGTAGTAGAGAGCCAAAGAGGTAATAGATGAGCTTCTGTTGTAAATATGTAATCTTCTATGTCAAAAATAATGTCTTCTTTATCCGCAAATAACAGGTAGAGATATTTAAACATTTCAGCCAAGAAGAAAGAATCCATTCTAAAAAAAGGGTCACAAATAAATCTAAGAACATAAAAGTACCCAAAAGGCAACTATCTGATGATCACTAACCCTGTCGCCACCAATTTTGATGTTCAAAGAATATTAGAGTTGATAGATTCTCCTCAAGTGAAAAAGATCAGGCAGGGGTGCCTACAACATAGGTACACTATATCCTGTCTCAATACTGAAGACAGATGTTCCTATTGGCCTTCTAATGCCAGAAAAAGGTCAGTTTCCTCTACAAGGAATGAACAGCGGGGAGTTAATACTGATGAATTTTAGTACTGAAAAGCACATAGAATCTTCAAGTAATGTTAACTGAACTAGATAAAGTTAAACAATGTCACTGGAACTTCTATTAGGCAACCATCTAAGCAATAAATAAGGCTTTAGAGGTAATGGATATCAATTACAAAATGCTATATAAAGAAAATACAACACAATATCACAGACACACTATGAGTATATGCTTGTAAACATTTATATACCTATCAGGAAAGGAATACAGGGAAATATAGGGGGTGAAAACATACGCTTCTTTACAAAATTACCTAATGTTATAATGTCTTAATAAATATTTGAAAGTAAAAAGTTTATAAAATGCCGTGTGGCAGGAAAAGAGCATGGATGACAAAGGGAATGATGGTAACATCACATTTAATTAAGTTTACTACCTCTGCACTGTAGAATAAGCACTGGACTACTACTCACTGCATTACGAATCGCAAGGAGTCCTGGGGTGGCACTGTGGGTTAATGTGCTGGACTGCAAAGTTGGTTTGAACCGCAAGGTTGGCAGTTCACCATCACCAACTGCTACTCAGAAACCCTATACTGGGTCACTATGAGTTGGAACCAAGATCAGCGGTTTAAATCCCCCAGCTGCTCTGCAGAAACCCTATACAGGGTCACTATAATTCAGAACTGACTAGATGGCACTTAACAGCAACAAGGCAGCCTTGCTTTCTGTAGTAATAACTTGTAGTTTACTGGAAAGGTTTTAGTCTCACATCTTTGACCAAGCTTAAGGAAAAAAAAGCATTGTTACATTTTATTACTAAACAAAATGTGTTGAAATATTACCTCTGTCATCTATGGAAGGCTGCAGACAAATTCTTTCATTAATACATCTGTCTTAGTTTTGTTAGAGGCCTTCAAAAACGGAATATTTGTGCCATAACATAAGAGCTAATATTAAATTTGTAATAAATATCAAGTGAACATCTTCTAAATCATTGTGGCTTTATAATAAGTTTACAGGAATGCTGCCCCACATAAAACAAGTTTTCAGGTGGATCAAGCATTTTAAGAATTGTTAGAAAGACCTCAAAGATGAGCCAAGAGCAGGAAGATCATCAATCTCAATGAGTTAAAGTCCAGAAACTGGTGGAAAAAGGTCAGAGAGATATCATTGATGCGATAGCTACTGAACTTGGGATCTGACATGATTTGGTGTTTTCCAATTTAAGTGAACATCTTGGCCTCAGCAAGCTCTCACTAAGCTCAATAGGTACCAAAAGTATTAAGCAAAGATCAGCTAGCTCAAAGACAGATCTTGCCATCAGTCTTAAATCAAAAATTGAAGCTAATGAAAATGATTTTATGGGACAAATTGCAACTAGGGACGAGTCTTGGATTTACTAATGCAATCTAGAGAGCAAGATACAATAAAGGAGTGGCTTGAGGAACTTTGTTGGGCCTGATAAATTCAAGGCAGAGAGACTGGCTCAAACGGTTATAGCCAACTTCTTTTTGTGACTCCAAAGGAATAATCTTGATAGATTTTCTCGGAGGACACAGAACGATAACAGGGATTATTAAGTTTTAAGAAAATTATTAAGTTTTAAGAAAATAGAACACTGCATTGTTGAGAAAAAGGCCAACAGTTACACCATGGAATTTTTTCCCATTACAACCATCCATCTACTCATTCTTCAAGGACAGCAAGGCTGTCGTCTCCTGTGAGTACTTCATTGGGAAACCTAACTCCATGCACCCCGCAGCCTTGATCTTGCCCTTTCACACTCTTTGTTCCCCAAACTCAAAACACATTGAAAAACATGATCTGAGTCCCCTGAGGATGGCAAAATTGCCATTTTGATATGGTGTTAACTGAAATCAAGTGCAAAATTCTTCTGGGAAGGGTTAGAGAGATGTAAACACTACCTTCAGAAGTGTATAGACCAAGAAGGAGGATATGTCGAGAATAACTTCACATTTTGATCACTCATTTTGTTAAAGAAAAGTTTCTGTAACAATACTTTTTGACTTATTCTCATAGCAGACAATCAATAAATGTGTACTAAACTGAATTCAAATTTAAATAGCTAGAGGTATTGAAACAATGTGATGAAAAACATGGACTGCAAAGACAGAAATATATTATACTAACTAGTGAAGTATTATAATGAAATGTGCAAAGACCTGGAATTAGAAAACCACGAGGGAAGAACACATTTGGCATTTTTCAAGCTGAACGAACTGAAGAAATCTTGAAGCCCTGACTTGCAATATAGAAGGATTCTATGGACAAAATATTGAATGTTGCAGGGACATCAAAAGAAAATGAAAGGTACACACAGAGTCATTGTACTGAAAAGAGATGGTCGATATTCAACCATTTTAAGAGATAGCATATGACCAAGAACCGATCAAAACCAAGCTTCACTAAAGGCACTGGCGAAAATCAAGGCTCCACTAATTGATGGAATATGAATTGAAATCTTTCAACAAACTGATGCAGCACTGGAGGCATTCACTCAACTATGCCAAGAAACCTGACCAATCAATCGAATGAAAAAGATCCATATTTGTGTCCACCCCAAAGAGAAGTGACCCAATGGAATGTAGAAATCATTGAACAATATTATTAATATCACAAGCAAGTAAAATTTTGCTCAAGATAGCACAAAAATAGTTGCAACAGTACATCAACAGGTAACTGTCAGAAATGCAAGCCAGATTCAGAAGAGGATGCGGAACTAGAAATATCATTGTTGACATCAGATGAATTTTGGCTGGAAGCAGAGAATACAAGAAAGATGTTTACCCTTGCTTTACTGACTATGCAAAGGTCTTTGATGGTATGGATCATGACAAGCTATGGATAACACTGCGAAAAATGGGTATTCCAGAACACTTAACTGTGCTCATGAGAAATCTGTACATAGACCAAGAAGCAGTCTTTCAAATAGAACAAGGAGACACTGAATGGTTTAAAATCAGGAAAGGTGGGTACCAGGTTTGCATCCTTTTACCATACTTATTCAACCTGTACTCTTGGCAAAATCCAAGAAGCTGGATTATATGAAGAACATGACATCAGAATTGGAGGAAGACTAATATACAACCTGCAATATAAAAAATGACACAACCTTGCCTGCTATAAGAGAAGAGGACTAAAAATACTTATTGATGAAGAGCAAAGTCTACAGCCTTCATTATGGATTACACTTCAAAATAAAGAAATAAATCCTCACAACTGGATCATGATAAACAGAAAAAAGATTGAAGCTGTCAAAGACTTCATTTTGCTTGGATTTACTATCAACACTCATGGAAGCTGCATTCAAGAAATCAAATGATGGATTGCAATAGGCAAATCTGATGCACAGGACCACTTAAAAGTGTTAAAGCAGAGATGGGGGCATGGAGAGGGGGAGCAGCTGAGGACTCTCATCAACTGAGAAGGACTAAGAACTGGTGGCCAGGAGCAGACTTGCAGAATGTGCCCTTTGGAGATGTAATTTATTATATATGCCTGAGTGGGTTTTTTTGTTTAAAAAAAGCTAAAGTGCACAGAGAGAAATACTTTTAACTGATGGTATATGGAGGGGATTATAATCAATGTAATGAAACAAGTTATATGAATTGTTGAATGTGAAACTGATGATGTGCCCTGTAAACTTTCACTCAATCCACAATAAAAACCTTAAATTAAAAAAAAAAAAAAATGTTAAAGAGCAAAGATATCAGTTTGAAGACTAAGGTATGCCTGATCATGGTATTTTCAATTGCCTCATATAGATGTGAAAGTCAGACAATGAATAAGGAAGACCATCAAAGAACTGGTGCATTTGAATTATAGTGTTGAAGAAGAATATTAAAAGTACCACAGACTGCCAAAAGAACAAACAAATCTGCTTTGGAAGAAGGCCAGCCAGAATACTCCTTAGAAGCGAGGATGGTGAGACTTTGCCTCTTACACTTTGGATATCAAGATGTCCCTGGAAAAGGACATCAGGCTAGGTAAAGTGGAAGGTCAGTGCAAAAGAGAAGACCCTCAATGAGATGGAATGACACCTTGGCAGGAACAATGGACTCAAACAATAGCAACTATCAGGACTAGACACTGTTTTGTTCTGCTTTGCATAAGGTCGCTATCTGTTGGAACCGACTCAACAGCACCTAACATTTAACTATGTGACTGTGGAAACATTATGTAAAGGTTGTGAGCTTCAGTTTACTCTTTTGAAAAATGAAAATCATGATTATTATATTTATAACAGTGTAAAGACTACACGAAATTGTTGTTGTTAGGTACCATCCAGTATGTTCTGACTCATAGCAGCCGTACACCCTTTGTACAACAAAATGAGACACTGTCTAGTCCCACACCATTCTCACAGTTCTGGCCATAGTGTGATTGAAAATATTATGAAAGTGTTCCTTAGTCCGCAAAGTGACTTCTTTGCTTCTTAACACTTTCAAGAAGTCTTTTTGCAGCAGATTTGCCTAATACGATATGTCATTTGATTTTTTGACTGCTGCTTCCATGAAGACTGACTACGGATACAAGTACAATAAAATCCTTGACAAAGGATTTTTTTCCATTTACTAAGATATTTGGTTATTCTAAGTTGTAAGGATTTTTGTTTTCTTTACATTGAGGTGCAATCCATTCTGAAGGTTGTACACTACAATGAGACTAGAGTTATTGTTGATGTTGTTGCATATGGTTTCTGAAGAGCAGCTGGTGGGTTTGAACTAGGCTAACAAATTATCAAATAATGGATATTGTTTAGTCTGTATTAAAAAAATCAGAAACATATATACAAATGTAAACATACAGGCCTTATAATGTCTGATGACTGTTTAACTAAAATATTTTAGGGAAGATTTTATGTTCTTATTGCCATGTGTATTCTTTGTGATAATCATCTATGATTCAGGAACTACAGGTATTTCCAATTTCAAAAATGTGTGTACATATCCTGGTGAGTGAGAAAGCAGTGCTAGGCAATGAGTAACCAAATGTAAAGATTATGGAGCTGAAAGTTCTCCAGTGTCGTGGCAGGAGGTAATGAATATGGTCAGTTGAGCATCTACTTTATCACAGGTTGGTGTGGCGCTCTAGGGTCAGCACTGGACTTCGAATCACAAGATCAGCAGCTCAAACCTACCAGCTGCTTCTCGGAAACCCTATACAGGGTCGCTATGAGTTGGAACTGACTTGAAGTCACCTTAACAACAACAATGATCAAAATACAAACTTTTCAAACATGTTCAAATTATGTTGTTGTTGTTGTTAAGTGCCATCGAGTCGGTTCTGACCCATAGCGACCCTGTATAGGGTTTCCAAGGAGCAGCTGGTGAGCTTGAACCACCAACCTTGCAGTTCAAACGGCTTTGCAGTCTGCCGCATTAACCCACAGCGCCACACCATATGAGCATTATAAAAAATTATCACATGAACTAAGGTATGCTTCCTCAAATAGCCTTTTTAAAAGCATTAAACTTGCATGAATAATATCCGGTAGTTGTATTTTGTGTTGCTTAAGAGTTACACTGAGGAAAGAAGATGTAAGGAAGAACTGGTTTACCTGTCCTCATGACTTCCAGTACGAACATCTTTCATAGCAGCAAATCCACAAGGCACTCTAGCATATTTATTTAAATTTTCAATAAGTGTTTTTCCTACTTCAAGGTAGTAAGGATCCCCTGTAGCCTATTAAAAAAAAAAAAGGTAAAATATATATGCATACTCATCTATGTAGCTTATATGTCATCTATCAAATTTTATAGAATACATACTAAGTGCAGGACATTTGAGTAGGCACTGGAACCTACTTACACAGAACCTATTCTGAAAATTAACAATGGCTCTACTTTAAAGCATCTCTTAAACAATACACAACGGAAAGCTGTCCAGCTCTATACCTTAACCTTTAGATTATATTTCTAATGCCCAGAAAGGCTGCCTAAATGAAAGAAGACAAAAGACTGGAATATAAAATTTCCCTTTAGAGAAATGTTTAATTACTTTGAAAAGGCAAATTAAGATAGCAAATTCTTGCTTCTTTCAATAATCCAATATAACATTAAATGAAGACTTTAAAAACCCAATTACTATCAAACAGATAACAGGATCTAAATAACAAAAACAGAAGCAAATGACCTTACTTTATATAAGAAGTAGGTACTTTCTGCAAATTCAGGCCTTAAAGGATGTTGAGCCCAATGTACTCGGAAATCTGTTGTAAATGCCTAACCAAAAAAACAAGCAAATTAGCATAAAAAAATATGATTGAAAAAATTAAGTCACTCTGAAATGTACAGTATTTTATAAACTAGATAAGAAACAGGTAAAAGTAAAATATCCATCACAACATAATTTTCTATAAAACATTAATTTTCATTGTTTAACAACACAATTCAAATTACAAAGGCTAATTATTTTTTAACCAATTAAATTGTTTTGTTTTGTTTTTTTTACCAATTTAATAGAATGACTTTTTAAAATAATCATTTTAGTTTTTAGGAAGCTCAGGAAACAACTCTGAGGCTGAGTAATGCTACTGTGAGGGTCTTATGATCCACAGAATTGTTTTCTCATTTTCCTTGTTTTTACTTCCTCTCTTATTTTCACTTACTTGGCTTTCACATTTCTATTGTAGTGCGTTTTCTTTTATAATAACTCCAAATCCTCTAAGAACTGAGATAGGGCATTATTTTAATAATAAATAAAAGGAGTCATATAAATGACAGAGTCAACTGGCTTTAGGAAAACAAAAAAGATAAAAATAAAACCCAACAAAAACCTTCAAGAGTGTCAAATAAAAACTTGATTTGTGTAAGATGTATGTAGTCTAACACAATTTAGAATAAACTGAAACCTCAATTTATTCTACATGGATATAAATTTCCTACCTACTTTAAGGCTAGTAAAATTATATTTCCCCAAAGCAACATTTTAGACACGTCCCAGAGGTCAAGAAGCAGTGATAGAATAAGGTCATATACAAATGTGGAAACTTTCAATGGCACAATTGCTAAAGAGCATGCTACTGAAAACCTTGCCATATCAAATAACCAAGAATATTTATTACAAACATAAGGTATAAAAACCAGAAAGAGCAATTTTCAATTATCATGAACAAAAGCTGGCATTCTCCAAAAAACCAGGGAGTACGTGTGATTAACAAAGTACTTTACACAAATATCATTTTCATAAAACAAGTTTTAGAAAATAAAAAGTGACAAAATCTCCCTAGCTGGTGGGTCCATGTAAAATTAGAATGAGAAAAATCTTACAACAGTATGGATTAGAAAAGGTTGAAAACTTGGGACTTTTTTTCCCCAGTAAAATTAATGAAATGTTAGTATTACCTTAAACTACAAAGGGGGGGGGGGGGGGGCACAAAACAGTTGCTGCTGAGTCTACTCTGACTGATGGTAACTTGGGTGGTCAGAGCAGAAGTATGAGCCACAGGACTTTTAAGGGGTAATTCTTTTAAAGTAGATTACTGGGCCTTTTGTACAAGGCTCTCTGGGTGGAAATGACCTCCAATCCTTTCAGTGAACAGCTGAGCACATTAATTATTTGCATCCACCAAGAACTCCTAAAAGAGACCTGGTAGTGCTATAGGCTAGGTGTTGGGTTGCTAACTGCTCTGAGGGAGAAAGATGGGGTTGTCTGTTCTCATCAAGAGTTACAACCTCAGAAGCCCTATTTAGAGTCATTGAGTTGGAACCCACTCAGTGGCAGTGGGTTTGGATTTTGTTGCTACCTGAAAAGTCATCAGTTTGAACCCATCAGTCACTTAGAAGGAGAAAAATGAGTCAGTCTCTTCCATACAGACTTACAGCCTTGAAAATAACACGGAGCAGTTCCACTCTGTCCTATAGGGTCACTGGGAGTTGGAACCGACTCGAGGGCAGTGGGGAGGGATCTCCTAAACTAGATTTCTTTTAATACATGAGGAAAAAGAAAACATACAATACTATATAAACATTATTATTAAATAAACTATTATTAATTAATATTATTAAATAAACTAACTTGTTGTTAAGGGCTCCCAGTTGGTTCTGACTCACAGCGAGCCTGTTTAGCTTTCTGAGGAACAGTTTGTGCGTTCGAACTGATGACCTTGTGGGTAGCAGTCAAGCAAACAAACAAACCTTAAAGACGACATTTTCCACATTTAAATTAAGGAGCTTTGGTGTGGGATAGACATTGGACTACGAGCAGCAAAGTCAGTGGTTCAAATGTATCAGCTGCTCCATGGGAGAAAGAAGCAGCTGTCTGTTCCCATCAAGATTTATTCTTGAAAACCCTAAAAAGGGTCCTTGGGTTGGAAATGAATCAGTGGCAAGTAGGTTTGGTTTTTAGTTTGGTGACATAGTGAGTTAAGGGTTATATTACTAAGAGAAAGGCTGGTAGTTTGAATCTACTCCTTAAGAAAAAGATCAGACAGTCTGCTTCTGGAAAGATTTACAGCCTTGGAAACTCAATTGGAGCAAGCAGTGCTATTCTGTCCTATAGGGTCACTACAAGTCAAAAGAAACTCAATGGCAGTGGGTTGTTGTTTTGTTTTATTTTGTTTGGTAGTGGTGGGTTGGGGTACAACAATTAAGTGCCTAGCTGCTAACTGAAAGGCTGGGGCACAAACTCACCCAACAGATCCATGGCAGATAAAAGCTAGTGAAATGCTCCTATAGAGATGACAGCTTAGGAAACCCTATGGAGTAGTTCTACTCTAACCTATAGGGTCTATATGGTAAACACCACTACCAAACATCAAAATTAACAGTCCTGGTGTGGCGCTGTGGGTTAATGCACTGGACTACAAAGTAGGTTTGAAATGCAAGGTTGGCAGTTCAAGCTTACCAGTTGCTCCTTGGAAACCCTATACAGGGTCGCAGTGAGTCAGAACTGACTTGAAGGCACTAACTCAACCTATATGTAAATTAAAATTCTGAAATTATTTTCTTACCTCTGGTAAAAAATTGTGTTTTTTAATCACCTGGTACAACATTTCGTGAGTTTCAATAGCAGGTCTAATATCCCCCTTTAAAACCTAGAAGTCAACAACAAAATGACCTAATAAGATATGAGTTGATTTTATCTATGATCATGTAGAGAGAAAATTGACATTAATACAGTTCTGAGATGTGCTGTTTTAGTAATTCACTTTCAGTAATCAAAAACATACTTAATTATAGTCATACTGCTTTAATATTAATAGCAGAATGCTTTTTACCTGTAAACCTGGAAAAAAGGCAAGCAAAGCATCCATCCAAGTCCGAGCATTCAGCATTGGTTTGTGGATATGCACATCAAGTAGAAGAGGTGGCTGGCTAATGTATCTCATTATGGCATCGTAATGCTAGAAGATCGTAATACATGTTCATGAAAGTATATGAGAAAAGAAGTACAATCTCAATACATTATACTAAATAGCACCATTAAGAAATTACACCTAAATTTATACAGTGATTTTATTTATATATTTATACAGTAATATTATTTAAATAATAATTATTAACAATTTAAATAAATATTTAAATTATTTTAGATGGGTTTCTTTCTATGATATATATGTTCCCTTGCATGGAGTCCTGGTGTGGCACTGTGAGGATGGACTGCAAAGTCAGTTTGAACTACAAGGTCAGTGGTTCAACCTTACCAGTCTCTCCTCAGAAATCCTATATAGACAGGGTCACTATGAGATGGAAATGACTTGACAGCACTTAACAACAATAACAAAATACTTAATATGGGACTTTCTGAAGAGAGCTCTGAATATTATCTTTCTGTGGAATTAGCTCATGGGATCCTGGTGTTGTGCTGTTGGATAAGCATGGGATTGCTAACCACAAGGCTGATGGTTCAAACCCATCAGCCGTTCCTAGGAAACCATATATAGGGTTGCAATAAGTTGGAACCAACTCAGCAGCACTTAACAACAGCCCGGTATGCTTTGTAGCCCAATGATACCCCAAGGATGCTCATGGAATAGAGCTACAAGCTTCAATTTTAGACAATTATTCTCATTTTCTCCAAAGTCTAGTTAATGTGTTCCTTTCTCAGCTAATATATTAATGATGGTGTACACCATCACCTAAATTAATATGTCTAATCACTGTTGCCAATCTTGTGGTCTGCTATTTATTATTTTTTTGCTCTTAGAAATTCTTTCACACCTTTTCTTGTCTTCTTCTGTAAATATTTCTCAGCTTTCACAATAAGAGGTTGAGCTGCTACAGTTAAATAATGCTAACAAGTCACCAAAATATTATCCATCCCCATTTACCTCAAGAAAATTTTGATAATCAAGAACCTAATGCACAATGCATGTGATAGTGCTTTTTCAAACATTCAAATGATGGCTTATTAAGACTTCTATTAGTTTTGTTTATCAACTTATCTGTTATTTAATAACTATTACTATATGTTAAAGGCCTAGTGGTGCTATGGGTTAGATGTTGGACTCCTAACTGTAAGGTCTATGATTCAAATCCAATAGGCACTCTGTGCACTTAAAAAAAAAAAAAAATTAGTCATAGAAACCCTACAGAGGGCTGCTATGCAGCAGAATCAACTCATGGCCGTCGGCTTGGTTTGTTTTTTAATTATATGTTAGATACTGTTTTATTTCACATACACTAGCTCAAAGTATCTTTTGATTAACCCTGTAAATATTCCTAGTATTCCCATTTTGCAGGTGAGGGACACAGGCAGGTACTTTAAGTTACCTGCTCAAAGTCACAAAATTAGTAGGTAATTTTGTGACTAGTAGAACAAGGATTTAAGGCAGGAAGACTCCCATACTTTAAACCACTACACAGACTATCTCACAAATTTGTGAGCTGGGCAAAGAAATGGTAAATTATTATTAAAAAGGATGAAGTTATTTATATAACTGATGAGTTTATTATACACACATTCATTTCGATTTCAGTAACAAAAAAGGGCAATTCCATCTGGTTCAACAATCTTACTGCTTTCCCAAGAAATCTGCCTCTAGTTCTGATCCAGACTTAAGACTTTATAATCTGCTTTAGAAATGAATGATGCTGTTGTTAAGTGCTGGTAAGTTGGTTCCAACTCAGACTGACCCTGTATAGGTAAAACTCAAATTCACACATTTTACCATTTATTAGCAGAGGGGGGAAATTCTGATAAAAGAATATAAAATGAGGTCATAAACTAATCGTAAGCTAATTTTTGAAATGTTTGAAGCTATTATTCTGTCCCTGTCTACCACCATAAGACAATACTGACAAAAAACGGATACGCTTGCAAAAATCATTTTTCACATCACTCGGGTAATTGAATTTCTATAAAAAAATCTGGCACTCAAGCTAAATTGGTTCTAAATATTAATTTTAAAAATTAGAACAACTTACTGTATTAAATCTTTCCAGAAAACTATCATCTCCAAGCAAGACGTAGGCTTTTAATAGATATTCATAATATGAATCAATCCCTGCTCCAACTCCACTATCTATGGAAAAAACATATGTGATTCTTCTTTAAACAGGTCTAAAAATGTTTTACAGATAACAAATACACTTGTACACTACAAATGGAAAATAAGTCTAAACATGAAATTGTTCAAGTAAAAAATAATTATTAAAATATTAATCTTACTATATATAATTGTTTCTTGGTTAATAATAATAGGTGCATCGAAAAAAATCTTACTTTGAAAAACTGTACTTCAAAAAATCAAAAAGATAACTTACAAACAAAAAGATGACAATGGACCAAGAATTAGAACAAAGAATATATAGAGAAAACTTGCAAATCATATACTTACAAACCTATAATTGTTTTAAAACACAAATAATCTAACAGAAAGTTGACAAAAGATCAGAATACCCATATCAAAAACAAAGAAGCATACTGACCAATAACATGAAGAAATGTCCAATGTTATTAGGATTAAGAAAATGCAAATCAAAAGACAATGGGATATCATTTATATACCCCATTTCACTGGTAAAACTTTAAAATCTGACAATACAAAGGACTCAGAGGATATAAATCCACAGGGTCTTTTACACATTGCTGTTCAAATTACTAAGTGGCTCAATAACTTTGAAAACCAATGGGACATATTTATCTCCTGAAGATGAACACGAACTTACCCTATGACCAAAATTCTACTCCTAGGTATGTAGTTATGTAAAACTTTTATACTTGTACAATGGAAGACACAACAATATTGAACAGTACTACTATTCACAATAGCAAACTCCTAGAAATAACTGGTAAATCGTGGTTTATTCATGCAATGTAGTTTATTCATAGTCAAAAAATGAATGAACCTTAGGAATATTAAGTAAAAAAAAAAACCTCTTGAAAAGTTAAACAGGGCATGGTATGTATTCATAGTTATGTATTCATTATATATAATTGTTTTAAGCTTAATAAAAACAATTATATATAATGAATACATACTATGAATATGAATCAAAAATTATCTGCACTCTGGCTGTAGAATTTATTTTAATCAACTTTTAGAAAAGACAAAGACATCACTTTTCAATTTTTAGAACTGAATTTTTATTCATTTATTAATTTTTAGAACCAATTTAGCTTGCGTGCCAGATTTTTGTCCATTTGTCAACAAACTTTTCTATTCCCTTATTACAAAATGTTTTAGGCTGAGCTGCGAGCCACTGTCTTCACTTTTTCATCAGAGGTGAATCTTTGTCCTCAAAAGGCCACTTTCAGGGGACCAAACAGGGTCACTATGAATCAGAACTGACTTGATGACATTTAACAACAATAAATGCTTGTTTTTAAGGATAAAACCATACTCTTTTTATAATATATCTTCTTTGCTCATATAACATTGTTACATGCTTTTTCTCATTTTCCCAATGAATTTTAATAACTAGTCCTGGTGTGACACTGTGAGTTAATGTGCTGGACCGCAAAGCGGGTTTGAACAGCAAGGTTGGCTATTCAAGTTCACCAGATGCTCCTCAAAAACCCTACACGGGGTTGCTATGAGTTGGACTTGACAGCACTTAACAACAACAACAATAACGTAATGCAAAATAAGTTTCTACTTATTAATGAACTCTTATTGTTTATCATAATTACACATAACTGTGACAAACATATTTGAGAACAAATAATTTTCTTTTTATTTCCTTAAGTTAGATTCCCAAAAGTAAAACTGTTAATCAAAGGGACTATCATTTAAGGTACCAATTCATTCTGCCAAATTGTTTCCCAAGTGGTGGTGATGTTAGGTGCCAATGACTCAGTCGTGACTCATAATAACCCTACATGTACAACAGACTGAAATACAGTCCCAACCTGCGTCATCCTCAGAACTACTGCCTACTCTTGCAGTCACAGTGCCGATCGATCTCACTGAGGGTTTTCCCCTTCTTCACTGACTCTCTACCAAGCATGATGTCCTTCTCTAAAGACTAGCCTCTCCTGATAACTTGTTCAAAGTACGAGATGAAGTCTTGCCATTCTTGCTTCCATGGAAAATTCTGGCTGTACTTCTTCCAAGACATATCTGTTTGTTCTTCTGGCAGTCCATGGTACGTATATTCATTATTCTTTGTCAACACCAGAACTAAAAGGCATCAATTCTTCTTCCGTCTTTCTTATTTACTGCCCAGCTTACCCAGGCATATGAGCCAACTGGAAATACCATGATTTGGGTCAGGCATTCCTTAGTTTTCAAAGTAACCTCTTAGTGCTTTAATACTTTATAGAGATCTTTGCAGTGGATCTGTCCAAGGCAATACGTTGCTTGATTTTTTACTGCTAATTCCAACAGCACTGATTGTGAATCCATTTTAAATGAAATCCTTGACAACTTCATTATTTTCTCCATTTATCATGATGTTGCTTATTGGTTAAATTGTAAGAATCTTTTTGCTTTCTTTATGTTGAGGTGTAACCCATACTGGCAGTGTTCAATCTGCATCAGTATATGATTCACATCCTCTTTGTTACCAGCAAGCAAGGTTATGTCATCTACATACAACAGATTGTTAATGAGTCTTTCATCAATCCTGGTGTGATGTTCTTTTTCATGTAGTCCAGCTTCTCAATTATTTGCTCAATTTAGTGTTCTGGAATCCTCATTCTTCACAATGCAATCCATAATTTCTTATGATCCATACAGTCGAATGCCTTTGGATAGTTAACAAAACACAGATAAACCTCTTTCTAATATTCTGTTTTAAACCCAGATCCATCTGACATCAGCAATAATATTCCTTGTTCCATGTGATTGTCAGATTAAAAAAGGCCAATACCAGTCCATTTCAGCTCACTAATGCCTAAGATACCGATGTTTATGTGTTCCATTTCATTTTTGACAACTTCGAATTTTCCCAGATTCATACTTCGTACTTTCCATGTTCTTATTTTCAATGGATGTTTACAGCTGTTTCTCTTCATTTTGAGTTGTGTCCCGTCAGGAAATGAAGGACTCACTGGCTTTACTCCATTTGCATCATCACAGTCAAGTCTACTTTGAGGAGGCAGCTCTTCCCCAGTCACATTCTGAATGCCTTCCAACCGGAGGGGCTCATTTTCCGGCACTATATCCCATCCTGTAGTAACCCTATATAGGGCTTCTGAGGAGCAGAATCCTATATAGTGTACAAGCTGGTGAACCTGAACCACTAACCTTGTGGTTCAAACCACAGCACGACACCAGGACTCCTGGTACCTTCTAACAATTGCCTGGAATAGATGCTTCACATGTACCCAATTTGACCTCATCAGTATAAATCATTAGTACTTCAATATGCAAATCACTTCATGACTTTGGATGAAACGTTCTCTCTCCAACATCATCTCACAAAAAAGAAGATTCTTTACAACATGGGCTTTATTATTTCAAATATCATTTGTAGTAATAATAGTAATATCAACTCAAATTAGTGAGCACTTATTTCATAAGGAACCCTGGTGGCACTGGACTGCTAACCACAAGGTCAGCAGTTCAAACCCCACTTGCTTTACAGAAGAAAGATGTGGTTTTCTGTTCCTGTAAAGATTTATAGCCTCAGAAACCCAGTTGTTGTTAAGTGCCATTGATTCGGTTCTGACCCACAGTGACCCTGTACAGGATTTTCGAGAAGTAGCTGGTGAGCTTGAACCGCTGACCTTGCAGTTCAAACCAACCTTGCGGTCCAGCACATTATGCTACAACAACTTATCAGGACTCCTCAAAAGGGTCATTATGAGTCAGAATCAAGTCAGTGGCAGTGGGTTTTGGTTTGGGGTATTTCATACACTGTTTTAAGTAAGCACCTTAAAATGGTAAATTCATTTAATCCTCATAATTAATTATGTGAAGTATTATATTATCCCCACTGTACAGATAAGGATGTAAAGGCACACAGAGGTTAAACTGTTGTTAAGTGCAGTTGTTGCTGTTGTTGGTAAGTGCAGTTGAGTTGGTTCCGATCCATAACGACCCTGTAGTTTAGGGTTTCCAAGGAGTGGCTGGTGAGCTTGAACCGCCGACCTTGTGGTTCAAACCAACGTTGCAGTTCAGCACATTAACCCATAGTGCCACCAGGACTCCAGAGGTTAAATAACTGGCCCCAAATCACAAAGCTAATAGGTTGCAGAGTTGAGATTTGAAATCCCACATTTGGCTTCAAAGTCTACTCTGAGCTACTGTATTATATTCCATTTCTAGTGGTAGAGGGAAGGAATAAACATAAGGATTATTAAATGCAGATTTCCACTTAACAGAATCTTGATGTGAGATGGATTAGGCACTCTGGTACTCTAATCCTTCAAAGAAAATTACTTTTAGCATTTCATTTACACCCTATGTTATTGTTTTAGTGCCACTGAGTTGGTTCCAAATCACTACGAACATGTATAGGGTTTCCGAAGAGCAGCTGGTGGATTTGAAATACCAACCTTGCACTTCAAAGTGAACTTTTGGTGGAATGCTTATCCTATATCACCACATTCAGGCTCTATATCCTTTATGTCATCTATAATGCCCTTATGGGAAAAAACATTAAATCATCTAGGTTAAGTGTGCTACGATTAGGGCCAAAGGAGAAAACCTGGCTAAATTAACAAAATTCCATTATCTTAAAGATCATTTTAACAAATGAAAATCCATTATTTCCTAACCATTTTGAGAATGTGAAAGCTTAACTTTAAAAACCCAATTTACATACCTTTGCGCACCCAATCTCCAGTATGAATATTAATAGTCACACCCACTAAGTTACTACTTCGCTGCCTTTTTTCCCAGAGAAAATCCAGAGCTTTCCTTGCATATTCCTATAATTAAAAAACAAACAAACCCTCAGTTGATTAACAAATAAGACGCAAAGAAACAAAAATCAAAGGCACATCCAATATATTAAGTAAAATTCTTAAAGTAACCATTTATATGATATATGTTAAATTGCCCTTGAAAAGCAAATCTTAGTTCTTTTTCAGCCAAGGAATTCTAGTTCTAACAATGACTCTGAAAAGAATGATTCACTGTAAGGACTTCCTACTCACCTACTCTTGTAAATGCAGATTCAAATTTGCATATATTATTAAATTATATTAATTGCTTACATTATAAAACATGCTTTTTAAAATAATTTCCATCATTTAAGTGCAAAGTAAAAATCCCCTTAGATAGTCCTAGTTAGAAAACTTTGGTATGCTGTCTTTGAAACACATAATTCAGATTCTATCTTTTAAAAGCATGCAATTTTGTTTGTGAAGAATTAAGAAATCAACTAGACTAATGAGTATTCATTTGATAATACCAAACTTATAACTTTACAATAACATTTTCTTTTCAGTTTCTTTTTTACATTTGTTTTTACCTATTCAACATTAAATTTAAATAATTTCTACTCAAGTTCTTGGCTTTAGATAAAAAAAGATACTATGCAATGTGAAAACAAAGTGCATAAACAGGTGAGTAAGGATCCCTGTAGCGTACTGGATTATGAGTTGGGCTGCTAACAGAAAGGTCAGCATTTTGAATCTACCAATCAGTCTCATGGAGAAAGATGAGACTTTCTGCTCCTGTAAAGATTTACAGCCTAGGAAACACTATACAGGGTTGCTAAGAGTCGGAACTCAACTCCACAGCACATAACCATCACCACAACCACCACAGGTGAGCGTCTAAGTTAAAATTAATTTCAGCACATAAACTTACACAGCACTAAGGGAATTGTACTCTAAAAGAAAAAAATCATTAGCCCAATTTGTCAACTTTATAGATTTAAGAATAGAGTCTCAAATATTTTAGTCTTAATTATTTTTTTTCTTTGTGGAATTTATTTCAATCAATTTTTGGAAAAGACAAATATGTCATTTTTCAGCATAATCTCCTTGCTTTTCAATACACTTTGTCCATCTGAGAACAAGCTTTCAATTCCCTTATTAAAACATGTTTTAGGCTGAGCTATGAGCCATGAATGCACCGCTGTCTTCACTTCTTCCTAAGAGGTGAATCTTCATCCTCAAAGGGCTCCTTTCAGGGGACCAGCCAGGTAAAAGTCTGGTGAAGTAAGATCAGGACTATAGGGAGAATTCACTGCCACCTCAAAATGACGTTTTTGCAGTGTCAACAGCGTAGGCAGAGGTGGGTGGATGTGCATTGTCATGCAAAATCACATCACTCTTGGATAACAGTCCTCTGCTTTTTAGCTAGTATTTAGGTTTCAACTCTACAGTGAGCATTTCACTGTAGTGAGCACTGTTGATTGTTGAACGTTTTTCCTGATAATGTTCCAATACAAACCTTTGAGAATCCCAGAAAACTGTGAGCATCAATTTTCCAGCTGATGGTTGACTTTTGAACTTGCACTTGCTTGAGATTATTTCTATTCTATACTCTGCTACTTACTCTCAGGCTCATAGTGATGAAACCATGTCTTGTCACCAGTAATGATTTTTTTAAAGGAACTTTTGCTTTCCTTCCAATATCGGTCTAAATTTAGTTTGCTAATGTCCAAACGCTTCTATTTATGCTTGTCCATGAGTTGTTTCATTACCCATCTCACACACATTTTTTAAAACCCAAGTCTGAGAAGGATTATTTCATAAGCAGAGCCATGGCTGATTTGCAAATGATTTGCCGCATAAATCCACTGTCACTCATCTATTCGACAGAATCATTCATGGGCATGCTCAATGTTGTCATCCACCATGGACATGGATGGGCATTTTAGCACAGCAAGAGCGTGGATAATTTTTATTTAACTGCATATATAATTGATATTATGTGCCATGAGTTGCAACCCTGGAGTATAGGATTTCCAAGCAACAACTGGTAGGTATGAATTGTCTACCTTGTGGTTAGCAGTTCAGGGCTTAACCTACAGTGCTACACCCATATTCCCTAAATTGTTATTAAGTGTTGTCATAGTCTTAATTCTTGACTAAAGAATTAATGCTGATTTTTAAAAAGTTAAAGTTATTTAACTAAAGGTCAGAATTTCAGAGCTGGAAAGGATCACAAAGATTGCAGTGCTCTATGTGGCACTGCAGGATAAACACTGGACCAGAAGGTCAGTTTGAGCCACAAGGTCAGCGGTTCAAACCCATCAGCCACTCCTCCGAAACCTTATACAGGGTTGCTATGGGTTGGAACCGACTTGATGGCACTTAACAACAACAGTGGTACAAACTGAAAGGGAAGAACACTTTCAGCATCTGTCATGCTAAAAGAATTGAAGAAAAAACCTGAAGTCTAAACTTGAGATAATGAAGGATTCTATGGGTGTGCTGCTGTAGGATAAGCACTGGACTGTTAATCACAAGTTCAGTGTGATTAGCCAGCCACTCCTAAGGAACCCTATACAGGGTGCCTATGATTTGAAACCAACTCGACAGCACTTCAACAACAATAACAAGGGCAAAACACTGAATGATGCAAAAAGCATCAAAAGAAGATGAAAGGTATACAGAGTCACTGTGCCAAAAATAAACTGTCGATAGTCAAACATTTCAAGAATTGATGGTACTGAAAGAAATCCAAGCTGCACTGAAAGTACTGCCTAAAAACAAGGCTCCAGGAATGGACAGAATGTGAATGGAAATCTTTCAACAAACTGATACAGCACTGCAGGAACTCACTCATCTATGCTAAGAAATTTGGAAGAGATAGTTGGCCAACCGCTTGGAAGAGATTCATATTGGTGACCATTCCAAAGAAAAATAACTTAATGGAATGTAGAAATCATTGAACACTACTATCATTAATATCACATGCAAAGCAAAATTTGCTGAATTCAAAAACAGCTGCCAACAAGTACATCGACAGAACTGCCAGAACTTTAAGCTATATTCAGAAGACAAAAAACTAGGGATAACATTGTTGATATCAGATGGGTCTTGGCTGACAGCAGAGAATACCAGAAAGCTGCTTACTTGTGCTTTATTTACTATCCAAAGGCTTCTTCACTATGTGGATTATGACAAACTATAGGTAACATTACAAAGAATGGGTAGTCCAGAACACTTAATTGTGCTCATGAAGAACCTATATACAGACCACAAGGCAGTTGTTTGAATAGAACAATGGAATATTGAATGGTTTATAATCAGGAGAAGTACGCAACAGGATTATATTCACCGTACTTATTCAATGGACTCAAGAGTAACAATAACTATGAGGATGGTGCAGGACCAGGCAGTATTTCATTCTGTTGTGCATAAGCTTGTTAGGAGTCAGAACTGACTCAAAAGCACCTAACAATTCAACAACATTCATTCTGAGGGGCTGGATTATATGAAGACTAATGTGGCATCAGGATTGGAGTAACATCATTAACAATCTGTGATACGTACTTGCAGATAGATATAACCTTGCTTGCTGAAAGCTAAGAGGACTTAAATTACTGATGAAGATCTAAGACAATAGCATCAGTATGGATTGTCTCTCAATGTAAACAAAAAATCCTCAACACTGGACCAATAATAAATAGCATCATGATAAACGGAGAAAAGATTCAAGTTGTCATAGTCTTCGTTTTGCTTGTATCCCTAATTAACACTCACGGGAAGTAGCATTTAAGAAATCAAACCACAGGTTGTATTAGGCAAATCTATTGCACAAGATCTCTTTAAAGTGTCCAAGAGCAAAGATACCAGTTTGAAGACTAAAGTGTTTGTCATAGTTAGGGTTTTGTGTCAACTTGACTGGGCTAGGATTCCCAGTGACTTGGTAACTGAAATGTTGTGGTTGACCCAACAGTGAGATGTAGTATACTGTGGTTCAGTCTATGATGATTGTCTCTGACCAGGCATAGTTAACTCTGTGATTACTGGCTATGAGCTGCCAATCAATTGAAAGGATGTTTTCCAAAAGGTTGTGGCCTGCTTCCAAATACAATGGACACTCAGGCAAAGGCTACTTGCTTTCTGTTGGATCTAAATCTTGCATCTGAATTTCCCTCCAACCTCTGGCTCTTTGGACTTACACCAGTGGCCTGCTCTATTGTCTGCCAGCCTTCCTGACTGCCAGACCTGCCTGATTGCTGGACCTGTCTAATGATCTTGATTCATCTGGACTGGACTTGGGACTCTCCCATCTCTACAACTGTGAGCCATTTCTTTTATATAAACTTCTCTCTCTCTATGTATGTATGTATGTAT